TTGGAAAAGTAACTTTTATGTTGGAGCAAGAGGCAGGCTTAATAATCACTTACTGACAAGCAGCCTCCACAGCAATGGTTTATGGCCACATGAAGATGTTGTGAGTTAATCACAGTAACAATTCCAGACACTAGGCTCAGTGCTGAAATTCACGCTTAGAAAATGAAGATAATTAGGAGTCAACACAGTTGAAATGCACAAGGAAGGGAGGGCTGTCATTAGGGTTACAACCACAATCTTGGGCCTGCTTCCATGCCCAAGTCGGAATAATGCCATAGTTGTAATCCACTAATGAAGGATGAACATGTGGAAGGCAAATGTATTCAAAAGCACTGTGTTAGGTGCCTTAGAAAGATGCCTTTTACACTCTGTTCTGAGTCTCACCGTATGGCCTGTCATGAAAGACAGAACAAACACACTTTACAGGTTTTGCTACATGAATGTTAGTGCTTCAGGAATGTGCCTCAAGATCCTGCCAGCTGTAGCTCAGTAAGGGGTCCAGGCCAGACCGGATTCATCTTGCTGCTTTTCTCCCAGGAATCACTATCCCTTTTCTTACCCTTTTGCTGGACAGCTGCTCAAATTTCCTTTGATCCAAGGAAAATACAGTCTAGTCAGGATGAATAGGGTTAAGAGCTCTCAAGCAGTCTTTGCTTTTAGCTGGATTCCCACTTTAAGGTACTTACACAAAATCACAAATGATTAGCTAGAATGGAGCGATCAAACTGATCAGACAGGCAGTTCTTGGACAAATACAAACCTTCAGAGAGGATTTATTGACAGTCTTAAAGAATTGAACCCAGGACCTCCAGTAGAGAGAAGTAGGGATTGTGGAGAAACTGTGAGGGAGAAGAGAAAATTATGTTTAGAATTAAATATCTTCATTGAAATACATAAACAATGACAAGAATTGCCCACATAATGGCTTTTCTTCCTTTCCTTTTCCGGTGTGTATTTCTGGTAGAATGTGAAGGAAACTAAACTCCATTGTCCCAGTTTTGCAAACTAAAAAGTTAATAATAATGACTTGTTTTCCAAACTTTAAATTTCAAATTTTGAAGGCTAAATTTAAGCTTTAAGAATCATTCTCCAGATGAAGTACATATAAACCTCATTATGTGTTTTTAGTCTTCTGTACTGGATTCTTATTTATTTTTCCATCTAGGTAAAGCTATTGTGGAAAGAAATTTTAAAAGACTAATAAAAAAAAACCCAGCTCAACTGATAAAACGTCCAGTTTATCAATGACATGCTAAAGCCTAATTTAATGGTTACAAAATACCACAGCAGTGTGCTTCAGTTTTATATTTAATACACTCTTCATTGTGGGGGAAAAAAAGCCAATCTTATTTTCCATTTTAGAAGATTCGAAGAGAAAGAAAACTGGAAAAAATATTCTTATTAACTGAAAGTGAGCATAAGGAACTTCTCACCTCCCCTTCATATCTTTACTGACAGCCAACAGACTAGAATGACACTAATGCAATGTGGTTACTGAGGAATGGGGCAAAAGGTGCAGTTTCCTTTTTTCTAGTGTTGATTTGTTTTCTATGCTGACCTACCCTAGACTACTGTTCAAAGAAAACATAGACAACAGAAGTGGTTAAAGTGTTAAATAAAAGAAGGCTGTGAAAAGACTGATTGCCATTGGGACCAGCAGTTAGCGTAATGGCTATGTTGCTGGACTCCCATGTAGTCGACCGCGGTTCGAGTCCCGGACCCGGTGGCTTAAACTCATGCCGGGCGTGTGTGTGTGCGTGCCCAAGATCCCTGGAGGAGAAGGGATTGCAGCGTGGCCATCCCCCCTGGGGGGTGATTTCCTGCTTTCTATCTGTCTCTCTCTGTCTGTCTGGCAAGCACATGCGCCCTATAGCAAAAACCTCTCCAAAAAAAAAAAAAGCCAAGAAAAAGACTGATTGCCATTAATTATTTTTATATTGGCTAACCATGTGTTTCTTTCTGACATTCCTAATAGTACAGACAATAGAACGATGATATATTAATACATCTACAAGTTGCCTTACAGATGTATTATAAAAGTAAATGTTATTCTAGCTATTTTGTGACCTGTAATTAACTAAAATCTGTCTCTGATTACCTGATTGTTACTGAGACTAAGTGAAGAACCAGCTAGAAGATTTGTTCATTCATGAAATAACAAATGAGTGCCTGCTTATCATGTAAAAGAATCAAGTTTACTTACAATGTGAAGAAATGTAATGGTAAAATATATTCATACTGCACATGGGAAGAGGTTTTTCTAGGCACTGAAATTGTGTAAAAGCCCACACAACCTCCCTTTATGGTTTTTGTTTCTTGGTATTTTTTTAATGGTAAAGAGCAGGTCCCAGGGATTAGGATGTAGCTCTCCTGTGGGGCATGGCAGACTTTATCCACTTAACAGGATCACTCCTGGGAATGCTTAGCATGTTTTGACACAACAGCTTGCCTATAATAATACATAGATTCATGGGTATTCATCTGCTGGGCACCTCTACGTCATGAGGTCAACAGTTTCAAAAAAATGGTAAAGAGGTTTTAATTAGAACATAACGTTTTACAGTTATTTTAGTTTTTAGTTCTGATTTTAGGAATTAGGGTAGAAATAGGTGAATAATGCGACCACAGAAAATCTGAAAAGACGCCAAACAAACGAAATCAAAGGGTCGAACAAAAGCCTTTCCCAAGCTACCTATGAGGTGCTGCCTGGAGAACCCCCTGGCTGCCGAGCCTTCCAAACCCTTCTTAGTCCACTATTAGCTGTTCAGGGAATTCGTGGTGAAGGCATGAAACTCAGCCTATCCGTCCTGTGAGGGCGAAGTTCCCGCGAGGGAGAGAAGTCTCGGCACTGAGGCAGACGGCCCCCTCAGCCCAGCTGCTCCGCCGAGTACCTGCAGCCACCTCTCCACAGCCGCGAGGCTCCGCGCCCCACGCGGGAGAGGGTGCGGGCCGGGTTCTCGTTTCGCGCCGGGGGCGGCCGGCGGCGCACTCGCAGCCAGAGCCCTGCCAGCTAACTCCTTTTATGGTGACAGGATGCCTTCCTCGTCTCCCCGCCCAGGCCTGGTGCCCTCCCACCCAGCCACCCACCACGTCCACGGCGAACACCTAAGCCTCGCCCCGGGGCACACGCGCCTGCTCCACCGCGGCCTCTCCAAGGAAGAAACCTAACGCAGTCGCCCTCCCTTTCTGACCTCGACGGTGCGGCCCGCGGGCAGAAAGTTCGAGAAACTGCCCACTTGGCAAGGCGGGCAGCGACTTGCAAGGGCCGCCGCTTTCGCTGTGACCCCCAACGGGATGCTGAGTTCAACTAAAAGAGGGTCGGGAAAGCACCTGGGTTTCCCGGGTCTCCGCCCGCAGCGGCCTCTCTCTGCGGGGGGGAAGCCCGGGGGAGCCGCGGGCGCCGCGGGCGTAGTTCTCTGGGACCCGCGCAGGCTAAGCTCCGCCCCTTGCTGCGCGCTACCAGGACTCGCCCCGCCTACTTTTAGTCTGGCCAATGGCCGGCCGGGCCGCGCGCTGTCTGTCTCCGCCTCCGCCAGGGAAACTTGAAGGAGGAGAAAAGTTTGTACAGTGGCTGGAAAGGCGAGAGGGGAGCTCGAAACCCAGCAGCCCAAGGGGAAAGATGAACATCCCCAGGTCAGAGCCTCAGACCGAGTGGACGCAG